CTGCTATTGAAAATCAGGTTTCACTTCATTTGGCTCACCCGGTATGTGTACATTTTTATATGTGTGTATGTATGTATGTGCGTATTTTAAATGTTTTTATAAGCAAACCTGTGTAAGGAGCGGATATGCAACACGTTGAGGAAAATAAGGAAAGTTACCGAACCAGCCGATCTGGTAAGACTTTTGGTTGGTCGGGTTTGAAAAATATACACATATATATGCATATATATGTATGCTTGGTACATTTACAATGTGAGTACACATATGTATGTATGTATGAATATTTGTACATGCACATATATATATATGTATGTATGTACATATCTGTAGACATTTGACTTAAGTATGTCTTTCACGGACATACAATAAAATAGCTTATGTCCCCAAAACATATTTTACCGTCAAAGAGACAAATTTTGCAATTCGAAAGAAATGTTAAATTACTTTATCGCTATTCACAACCTTTAAAAATGTTTCTGTTTGCAACAACTGTATTTTTTAATTCAAATAAAATTTATTGCTTTGACGGTAAAAAGAGCTTTTCCGCTATGAACTATTTCCTTTGTCCGTGAAAGATAGACTTAAGCTGTTTTGTCAAATATTCACAGATATAAATTTTATATATCGAGGGCTTATATCACCGTGCGACAGTCAGTCACAAAACTGCGGGGCAAATATAGTAAAACTGCGTTTTTAAGTTTTCTCTCTGACGTCAGAATTTTTTTTAAATGGACTTTGAAGTTCCTAGAATATGATTGAATAAAAAAATGATTCAAAAGATTCGGTGCATTATAGAATAACTATATATGGGTATCAATTAAAAGGAAAAATTCTATAGAATAGAAAGAAAATTAAATTTTTGTGTGCACCAGGACGAATAAGTATTGAAAATGTCCTTGTAAAACTTTATCCTTGTAAATTTCCAATATTTATTTTTGAATAAAATATATGTCAAGGACTAATATGTTAACTACATCCTTGAATTTCGTCCTTCTAACTTTATTAGTTTCAGATAAAAAAAATTAACTTTAATAAAAAAAAATACTTTTAATTAATTAGTTAATTAATTTTACACTTCTCTTTATAAGATATTGATAGTTGCAATATACATAAATGAAGATACTGGAATCATTATTATGGAACCATGTATGCGCTCTAAAAGAACAAACTGGCCGTATGATGTACGGTTTAAATACTTTAATTATTTTCAATACATGGGCGTAGCCAGCCTTTCACCTAGGGGGGCGGGAGTTTATATAGAGGGAAAAATGATTTTTATTAATTTTTTTTTTGTGTATATAAACGAAATTTAAGGGAGAGTATAAGTTTTCTGGTATCCTTAACCACGATATCAATTTTTTTAAGTCTGGTTTGTAATTTTTTTTTGTTTAAAATATTTTTTTTTTGCTTTTAAGTATTTTTTCTCAAATTTTTATGTACGAAGTATACAGATATGCATACCAGAAGAAAGGAGGTTTAATCGCCTTTACAACGAAACCAAATTTTTTTGCTAATGTTTTTTTTTATAAATTTTTCTTCTCAAATTTTTACATACGAAGTATACAAATACACATGTCAGAAGAAAGAAGGTTTGATTGCGTTCAACCGATATCAATTTTTTTAAAAATCCGTTAATAATTTTTTTCTTTAAAATATTTGTTTATAAAAAAAAGGATTTTTTTTTCATTTTAAATGTTTTTTCTCAAACAATTACATACAAAGTATAAAAATATGCATATCAGAAGAAACGGGCTTTATAATAAAATAATTGTTTATTATTGTTCCATCAATGCATCCTGTGACTCATGGAAATCCACCAATAATAAAAAATTTCGTGACTATATTATGCGTAAATTCCGGTCAACGAATAGTTTCATCCATCGATTTGTTTATCACGGTATTTACCACTCGGTGTATTACTCTGCCCACCGTGGGCCCCTCGCATTCGAACAATTCCTAAGGGATAAAGAGTAAGTTTAAGCTCCGACTCGATTTTCAGCACAAATTCTTGAACTTGAGCTCACTTCATCTAAAACTCAGTCTGAGCTGATGGGCACTTTTTATGCGTGAGGCCAATAGGCCACACTTACGTAACCAGTCAGACGTAATAATTACAGGGACTTAAGGAATTATTATGCTGACTGTAGGTACACTCCAATTTTCAACAAATTTTATTAAATTGGGGACGAGAGCGTCGAAAATTTTCCACCACACTAATATCTATTGTAGGTGATTTGCTCGTTTTTTGTATCAATTAAAGGATTCCTTTAAACTCGTAAAGTCTTAAACTGTGTAAAAAAGTTTACGAGGCTTTTATGGGAACGCCCCCTTTGTCAAAATGTGTGAATAGGTGCCTGTTTGACAGAGCAACCAGAATTTTATGAAACAACTTTTGGTTCGTAGTATTTACAATTGAAAATGCCGAAAATTAGCAGAACACACAAGTTAGAACGGTTAGTGGAAGAAATTCACTATTTTTTCACAGATTTTTTTTAAATTTGTTTTCAATATTAAATAATACATTTTAGTAGAATATTTTCACTCTCTAGAAAATAATTTATACAGTCTCACACACGTGGGTTTGCATTTTGTTGATACGCGATTTTGTACTTTAAACGACGATATGAATTCGCCGCCTTGTTCTTTACTGCTAATGAGTAGTATTTAGAGAATGACGTATACATATTCTGTACCAGTAGAGAAATAATGTGTAGAGAAAAGTTACAGAAACGAGCTACAGTTAACGACAATTTTCAGATCGCTATCGCAAATCGCCGACGTTTCTTATGAATGCGGAAAAGTTGGGACAAACACGAATGGCAAAGCAAAACAGAATAACCAGAAAATGACAAATCTTTCAATATGACAAAAGTAGAAAATATTCGAGAGAAGTATATTAAAGCACATTATTTAAAACCATGTGAATCTTATTTAGTGACGGATATCGGGACCCGCAGTACATATATGAAAAGCGTCGGGATAGGCGGGTTCGGGACCTAAAAATTTTGTGCCGGCGCCCATCTCTTTTACCAATGCTACCTTATTTTTACAAATGGGATAAGAAATAGTAAAAATAGGTATAAGGAACTTAAGTCGGCTATTTTATGTATTTTTGCTACGCCCATAATACATTTTTTATAACCGAGAACACTTTTGCAAAAGGGTATTATAACTTCGTTCACATAACGTTTGTTTGTAACAGCCAAAACGAATCGAAATAGATATAGACAAATGCATACATATACGTCCGTCCGTTTCTGTACACGATAACTCGAGCAAAAATTGAGATATCTCAACGAAATATTAATGGTATGTAGGTTGCCTTTTATCCAAGGTAGATTGGTATTGAAAATGGACGAAATCGGACTGTAACCACGGCGACTTCCCATATAACGGTATTTCCGAAAAATTAAAGAACTACGATATTTCAGTAAATACGGGATCTAAATCGTTGGAAGTACGTTAGTACGTAAAGTAGAATTTCGGTAACAATAATATTATTATGAAGTTTTTCGAAAGTGGGCGGGGTACCACTGTGGGTGGTATATCAGTAGCCGCTCCGCCAATCCTTACCAACCTCGGTACGAGCCTTGCTAAGGATCTAGCTAAGAAATCTATTGAAAATCTTTGCAATCGGGCAATAGCCACGCCCACCTCCCATATAACGGTAATTTACAGAAACATGAAAGTTGCGATAAAATAGTAACTACTGAAGCTGATTCACTTAAATCGACGATTACAATAAGCACTTATCAGAAAATTAGATTATTAAACCTTTTTTGGATCAAGGGCGTGGCGCCGCCCCCTTTTGACCACAAATGTGTATCTCGGCAACCGATTTATCAATTTCTCCCAACCGGTAAAGCTATGCGTTGAAAATTATTAAAATCGGACGAAAAGTTCTATATATCATAACTGACTGTGCTAATTTACTCCATGCTAATAGTTACTACAAAATCTTAACAATAAATATAGACTTTTAGGAATTGAGCGTGGCACCGCCCACTTTATGACTACAAAGGTATATCTCGGTAAGCAATTTAACGATTTCTACCAAACTTGGTTTAATTATAGCATTAAGTCTAACTCAGCATATCATCGAAAACGTTTGAAATGGGAAAAAACACCCCTGCTTATCATGCAAAGGCAATTTAGAGAAAGTGGAAACGACGATATTTGATACCTGCGCCGGGTATATAAAGTTCGGTTTCGCCCGAACTTTTACTTCTTTTCTTGTTTTACAATCAAGTCGATTTCTGTACGTTTTAGTACAAGACTCTGCTATGTGAAAAATTTGAATGAAATCAAAGGTCTTCGCGTTGTTCGCATTTTAAAACGGGGACTTTATAATAAATATCATAATTTAACCGTAAAAAATTATTATATTTTTTCGATCATATTGTAACCGTTTTTTTTTCGCGAGTCGGTTTGGATGTGTTAGTGAAAATAAATATGTGTTAGTTACAAGGACATGACTCTGGCATGACTCTGAGTGACTCAACGGTGTGTAGTCGAAAGGCGAGTCAACACAATACAATATAATACAAAAAATAAATAAATAAAATATATATGTATATGCATGTATATTCAAAAATTTTTATTGAGCTTGAGGCCGTTTTTAATGAAAAACTATTGTGGAAAAGCAACAATAATTTCGAAAAAATGATAGAAGTGATAGCTATTTTGGAAATCACCACATTTCCTCATCTGTCTTCTTTCAGTGAGATTAGAACAACCAGTTGCCTACGAACCGTGCTAGGTTCGCCTTGTAAATTCTTGTTACTTTTTTCCAGTTTTTCATTTAAAACGGCCTCAAGCTCAATAAAAATTGTTGAATATATGTAATTGTTATAAGGCCATAAATAAAATAACAAAAAACAAATTTATCAAAATAACGGTGTTATTTTTCTACCTCAAAAAAAAAACTTATAAAAAGCGGTGAAACACCGAGATTGAACTATCCCTGAGAATGTAGATTTACTGGAGATTTAAAACCTTACCCGAGATTGTAGACATAGTTCGGTTATGTTTTCCTCTGACTAGCTCCGATGGACGTAAACTTGGTTCTTCTATGACCTCTAGGCCTGAATCGGAATCTATGTAATCCAAATTGGTATTTGAATTGATTAGGCAATCGCTTCCAGGTTCTGTTGCAATCAAATGGTCTTTTTTATGTAAGGAAGCATTCACCGGTGGCGGCAATGGAGGAGGTGGTGGTCCGTTCGCTGAAATGAAGAAAAAAAATATATTTATGTATGTATGTATGTACATACACATATGCATGTACCGCGGTTGCAGTTTAATTGGGTAAGTATATAGTTACATATATGTGAGTTAGAAAATTGCAATGTTATTGTCAGATGCATTAAATGTGTATTTATATGTGTATGTATATAGTATATTCGACTTTGTGGATCATACCAATTGCTACGCTTTGTATAGGCGGAGCAGAAGAAACTCGTTTCAAGTGGCGATCGCTTGTGTTTCCATCATTGCCGCATGATGATTGAAATATGTTGTTGGAGCTGCCGCCGTCCAGATTATTTCGAATAACCGAGTTTTTGTGTGATTGCTTTGTGCGCTCCGCAATATCTTCTATTGGGCATACGCTTTCATACGTATCGCTCTTAATGCCACCATTATTGTTGTTATTACTTGTCTTCAGCTGGTTCTTAACATTCAAGTTTTTAACGGTATAACTTTCCTTGTGCGACATTTCATATCTGTGTAATCCATTGGCCGATTGCGATTTGTTTCGACTCAGTGGGTCACTTATGTGTTTGTTCTTCAGGTTCTGCAATCAAAGGATTATAAAGATAGAAATTTAGTAAACCAACAACCACATGACCAAGTCTAAAAAGAACAAAAAAAAACAAACAAACAAACAAAAATAGTTGCCCTTGACATAAAAAGTTGGAGTAAGCAACACCAGTTTACATGGCATAGACCATTGGCTTTGTATGCCAGAGTTCAAGGTTCAAATCCCAGTGAGCTCGATGAAGCAGTCTTTTAAGGAGATCTCGGATATACATAGAAGCTGCAACTTCATCCAAAGTAAATTACTGTTGTTCTTCCATAAACTTCTTTCATCAAATGACCTCAAGTTTAAGTACAACTAGCTCTGTTTTTAACATTTTACGGGTGTAAGTCGATATGCTCTCAGAAAAGAGAAGAAACTGCCCAAGCCCACGGGTTTGCGTTTCCCCTGTACATATGTATTTTAACTGTTCTGCATTAACAGCTCAAAACTAAAAAAATAATTATCTTTTCTAAAGTAAGTAGTAAGGATTTGACATTGATTAAATTAGGATTTATTACATATATATACATATATATGTAAAGATCTACCTATTTTCTATAGATAGTTTCTAAGCCATATTTACTTGTAAATGAGGTCCGAAAAACATCAAATTAATACAGTGTATACAAACATATAGCACACCGTCTTCAATAGGGGCACAAATCAAAATTACACGTTTATCAGAAAATGCGAAAAAAACTATTTCTCAGCACATGATAATCATATTGGCAAGGGAGACTTTACCTTAGGTTTTAATTATAACAAAAATTTGCTTCAGATTTTGCTGAAATGTAAATAAAAGCTCTGTGTACATTTTTAGCGCATAATTTCAGAAATGTAAAATTTTGCGTTGTGCCCCTTTTGAAGACGGTACGCGATATGTTGATCTAAAGTCGAACACTGAATACGGACGGATGAGTTCAATCAATGTTCGTATGTGCATCAGAAATGTGAAGAACATGAAGTTTTAAGGAATTTATTTATTTATATTTTCCACATCAAATGTTTCTAATTTCTTTTTTATAAAAATACACATATGTATGTAGTTCATTCGACAACTAGAACCAGCAGAAAAAAATTTTTTTCAATTTCATTTAGAACTCATTTAGAAAAATCCAAGAAATACCAAACAAATTTTTGCATCAGAATTTGTAACTTTTCAATTCGATATACATACATCTATAGATAACGCATGAACCAAATCTATTTTTATATGGAAAAAATGCGCAACGCCCCCGAGAAAAAAAAAATTCAACGGCAATTTCTAGATACTTGAAACTTGCACTTTATTATACCAAAATTTATTGGGCTACAAAACTGCATACTCTTTCCAAGAAATCAAATTGAAAAAAATTAAAATTTCTTCTAGAATTTTTCCGAGTTCTATATGAAATTAAAAAAAAAATTGTTCTTCTGGTTTTTGCTATTGAATGAACCACATTTTTATAAAAAAAAGAAAAATTTGCTATGGAAAAAATAAATAAATAAAATCGTCAAAACGTCAGGAAATTCCTATTTTTGACGCTGACTGTATATTTATTTGGTATGTAGTACGGAAAGGGAAAATTTCATTAGTGGAAAAGTAGCGGAAGCCTAAGTTTTTATATGAAGGTTTTTGCTGTGGTTCTAAATAGCTTTTCAAAAGTGCCCAGCGAGTCATGTACCAACTATGATTCGGCCTTTCAGAAATGACTACCATGATTTAACCTCTTCACTCACTTTTTCACAAAATATCGGATAAGTATGCAAATTTTGCAAACCAGAATCAGTCTACTAAAAATACCCTTCTTCTTGTCTTGTCATTGTCATAATCGCCTTTCGCCAAGCTTAGTCACTCAGAAGCATATTCGCTACACGCAGCAACCCTACAATATTTTATAATGAAATGGACGGCGCACAGTGCCGCCTAAATCGAAAAATTCGTTATCTGCAATGTGAACTTGGCTGGTATTTTTGTAAAGACAATTTATCCACTAAAAAGAATTAAACAGACATTTCCCCAAAAAATTAATTATATAACGCCAGGAAGCCACTAAAATCGACAGATTTTATACTCAGAATTTTAATAAAGCATACCCAGGTGTAAGCTCTTCGCAGAAAAAATGTCAAAAATATATTCTTTGAAATAAAATGTTGATTTGACGTTTCTTGTTTCCATATAGATAGCAGAGAATTACTGGAACTAAAATTTTGGAATAAAATTAAACACAGGGTGTCACTGCGGTGTTAAAAAAACTATTTTTTTAAACAAAATTTAAAAAATTGCTAAATTTTAATGGAATGAATAAAAAATATATGTAAAAACAGGTTATTTTTTTATTATTTTATTAAATAGCACGGGCTTTTAGCTTTCAAAAGAAGAAATAAAAACATATATACATATTTCAGTTACCTTATTCCCTTAATTAAAGTGAATTTGATTTTTTAAACATGTGGCAACCCTTCTGCGTGTCATTTAGAGCTAAAGTATTTTAAAAACTAGTTCAATTGATACCCATATTGTAATATCTAATTCATTTAACTTATTAAATAATTTTAATAAAATTTTTAACAGGTGGCAACCCTTTTCAAAAATAAAAAACTTTATTGCACAACTACTATCATTTGACACCTCACTTTTGAAAATAAAACGAACTATATGTACATACCTATGTAAAAGCCACAAGAACCCAAATTTTCAACTTCAAACTGCATTTACAGTGAAAGTATGAAAGTTATCCAAAAACCAATTGCATTTTTGAATTCAGCGTCCTCAATTTTACTAAGAAGCGAATTTTAATTTAAATCCGTCCATAATTCTATTTTTGCCTACATTTTATTTGGACGGGAAGCACTGTGCGACGGCTCGAACCTTGGTTCTACAGGGTGGAAGTTCGCACCTGCAACCATTCGGCTACGGCGGCCGCCATAGTTTACTCTAGTCTAATTTTGGGACGCTTAGTTGACAAAACTTGAATATTTTTTGGTTGTAAAATTTTGCACATTTGCTCAAAAGCATGTAATTTTAACTTCATCTTTTTCAAAAATATCAATACCAATATCATTGATTTCAAATGTCATTTGGAATATACTTTAAAATGATTCAATTAAATTTGCCAATGATGAAACTGTGCTTCCTTTCTGAAATAAGATTCAAGAATTTCATCAACTAATGGTGTTTTCGTTTCTAGCAAAAAATGTCGCCTTTTGATTGCCCATTTCCTTTTCCGTCTTCGATTCTGAAATGAAAGCAAACCGGTAAGAATATTCATTGTTGTTTCTTAACTCTAAGATCAAAAAAAGGCAAATTCTCTGCCTTTTGAAGCACTGTCGATGATATGGTTTCCCTGAAAATCAAATCGTTGCTTAAGACGATAATATTAAATATGAAATGCGTGAGCTAGACAAGGAGGATAAGTAGTTAAAAACATGCACTCTTACAGATTTGAGTGTAACATCAAACATATTTTGCACTATGCAAGGCCAAACTGTTTTGAAAGAAACGAAAGCATTGTCCTTTACTGTCTACTTCTGCAAACTAAGTGGTAAGTGTATGGTGGCTTACATGATTGCTGTATTGGAGTACGACATCTGTACTGCGAGTTGAGGAGGTGCTAGCTGAACGTGAATGTGAACCACTATCGCGAGACCGAGATCGGCCAGATGCAAATTTGTGTTGATTTTTTCGAGCTTCCTCACGCACCAAGTATATATCCTCGTAATCATGATCGTGCGCATTTTCCGCCGCGTGCTTTTCATTGTTCAAAATATTTGAGTTCGATGGTTTTGAAATTTCATTTTGGTTCTCTTTCTTTATATTGTTGTTGCTGCTACAGATATTATTTTTATTGTAGTTGAGCCCGGATATTATATTATCATTTATTTTTGAAATTTTGTTGGTACTCATTTTAACACCAATGCTGTTTTTTAAATTTTGATCACGACGGCTTATTTGATTGTTGCACTTTGGATGAAGATTGAAACTGTGGCTCCGAAGATTGTTTGCCTTGGGCGAATTCATACTTGATTGAACTGAAACTGAAATAGACTCCTCGGATCCACTTCCAGTGCCACTTGAGCTTGAGTGGACATCTGCCTGTACGGTCACAGCATTGTTTGTTGAATTCGATTTGTTGTTCTTATTTTGAGTTAGAGATTTGTGTCGATTGATTTTGGGCTTTGATTGCCTAACGCTGCTACAGTCCGAGTCAAACAACTCTCGCACCCGATTATAAATTAGCTCTTGCGGATCGTGAAGAAAGAATGATTCTCCCGAAACGCTTCCAGTGGGTGAGGGGGGCATGAAGAAGCTATTACGCATTGGATTGATATACAAGCCATCGCTCGGCACCATTTGACTATTGTACAATTTTTCAGAAGATGACCGTGATTGTTGCGAGTGTGCGTAAAACGCGTCAACACGTTTGTGAGCCATCATACTAGATGGTGGATGCAAGTAAAATGGCTCAATGTCTGAGCTTAAAGTCGACGATGTCTTTGATTTTATGGTGTTGCTGCGGCTAGTCTGTTTACTGCTATTTGAATTGCAGCTCCCATGAGAGCAGTTGCCGATACAGTTAACACTGTCGCTACCATTGAAACTACAGTTTTGCGTCTCCTGCAGTTGCTTGCTAGATAAGGAACAAGTTTTATGCCGTTGCAAGGGGTTCTTGTCACGACAACTGTACTCCACCGAGCTGCCATGTTGCACTAACACGTTCAGACACTTTATTTAACCAATTGGTGAGATGATAAGAGAAAATACATGAAATGTAAAAAAAGGAGAGCAGTCAAAAATGCAAGTAAGTATTTATTCTTTGACGAGATTACCTCTACTTGTTGATTTTCTGCGGCATCATTAATTGGTGATTTGCCATATTTGTCCAGGGAAAGCTTTGCACCATGATTAAGCAGCCAGCGAACGACGGAAAGATGACCTCGTGAAGCAGCAAAGTGTAAGGGGGTAGCACCATCCCCATCTCGTAAATTGGGATCAACTCCTTGGTCTTGAACCTAAATATATATTCATACATTTGTATAAGTGCGGACAAGCAATGTTCATTAAAGCTAAATTATTCTATAAAAAAAGTTCCTTTTATTTTCTCTAGTAAATGTATATTGGCACTCGACTAAAAATCTCCCACCGTACAACGCTTATAGATTAGCCGATGTTTCAGATTCGTAGTTAGATGCTGGGGTTCTTTTCTTAATTAAGCTAATTAAGGGGGTGGTCAGTAGTAACTATTTACTGAATGAGATTACCACAAGACCGTCGAGGCATTTTAAACCTATTGTGTTGAGTATCTGTACATCAAACTTTGAAATACGAGTGCATGATGCTTTTCGTTGGCCATGCCAAAAAAATACACATCTGAATCGCTTTTCATAATTAAACTAACTTTGCTTAACCAGTTAACAAACTAGAGGTATATATTTATGTATCTGGAAATGGACAAATGTCACAATATCTTTAGCAGCTTATAACGTATTTAATACAATTTAATGCCGCGTCTCGATATGGAATATTTAAGACTGTTGCTGCTCTTGCATTGGAACTAAGTAGTACACGTAATACAATGCGGCCATGGATCGGAAATTCGGCATCTTCGACTCCACCAAAGAGTTCATCGACAGCGCGGAGCGGGAATTATGTTTTTTCGCCCGCCTCACATATCAAAGTAATGACGACGGGTCGGAAACTCGAATCGGAAATACGGCTGCCCTCAAAGGTAGACTGAAGACTAGGCCTCACCAGCTACCCAACTATCCCACTAGAACTTGAATGGAGATCTCGCTAAGTGAGGAATAAAAGAGTACTCCCCTTGACCTGATTTCGGATCAATAAGAGAGATTTGTGGACTTTTTACTCCCTTATTACTCGTTTAGGAGTCAATAGGGACATCTCCTAAGCTAGCAATTAAAGAATGCTCCCTGAGGCATGATTTGGGAGCAATAAGCGAGATTAGTCGGTTTTGCACTCCTGTATTACTCACTTAGGAGTATAATGGGAGATCTCCCAAGTGAGCAATAAAAGTATCCTCCGGGATACATGATTTCGGAGGTATAAGCGAGATTTGTTGGTTTTGTACTCCGTTATTACTCGCTTAGGAGCAAAAATCGATGTTTCCTAAGCGAGCAATCCAGGAGTATTCTTTTTAATTGATAGGAGAGCTATACGCACCTTCTTCAACATAATTTTGTGTTTTTGGAAAATGTATGAAGAAAGCAAAACAGATAACTGATGTGTACATTCATACTTATATACATACATATGTATTTCTAATTGAAAAACTTAAATCAGGCAACAATGAAATTAATTGGAGAGCAAATCTTTAGAGCCGCTGGTATGTATGATAGCATTTGTTTAAACTTATAAATGATTGTATTATTTAACTCAAAATATATTTCAGATTACGGGGCCAGCAATTAGGGCGTCTACGTTCTAGCGTTGCAATCTTGCCCCGCCCAGAAAACTTACTGGGTACAGCCGGAAGTTTTTCAAGGCGTGAATAGTTTGGGCCACTCCCGGGTGAATACAAGTTAAATAACTTTTCCAGGAAATCATCCTCGCCACACTTATCTTGTGGATTGTATAAAAGTATATATGTATGTATGTATAATGTTTGAGTTTGTCATTACTGTTCGATATCCGTTTTCTAATTTTAGTTAATATTGTAATAATAATTATTTATGTTTTTTTCTGTTTTTGTAATAATCAGCTTAAATCTTGTATTTATGTGCATAAGTATGTATATATGTATATGATTAAAAAATTAAATAAATGAATTGCGTAAAAAGCAAAATCTTTTTAGCTTATGTAAAATGCTCGTTATGGAGCAATGTGGGAGTAGTCTTCCATTACTCCATGAGGAGGAATTCGGGAGTATAGAGGCGCTCTTTTATTACTCGTACAGGAGGTTTCCGGGATGACTCTTATGGGAGTACTCCCTTACTACTCGTTGGGGAGGAATGTGGGATGTTTTCTATGTGCACTCCCTTGTTGTCTTTTTGGGAGGTTTCTGGGAGGTAACTAAGGGAGTACTCCCGTATTGCTCCATTAGGAGGTTTGTGGGATGATAATTCTGTGTGTGCTCCCCGATTGCTTGTTTAGGAGGTAAAAGGGATTACTCCCCCTCCTAGGACATCCAATGTTAAAGGGAGTATACAAAATTACATGCTTATACATAGGGAGCAATGGGGAGTATTCGTATACTCCCAAGGGAGTACTCACCGAGCAATCGTACGATGCTCCCAAGTTCTACTGGGTGATGCGTATCATCGGTAACGGCACATATTAAAGAGAAAATAGTTGTGTCAAAATATGTTGACAACTTTTGTTGTCAAAATATTGCATAGCGAAAAACAAGCTTTAAGATAAAAATTGCCTAAGTGGCAGAATGGGAGATCTCGGGTTTGCCATGCAAATACTCCGTTATTATGACCACGCCGCTAACAAAATTTCGCTGCCTATGTGCGTATAAATAACTCGTTCTATCGTCACTTAGACTAATCCAGAACTCTCTTCACAGAATTGACACTGATTTAAAAAAGGTCTTAACGTTATCCAGTTTTTTGAGCTTACCATCCACTTAAGGCAATCCAGACATCCCATTTGGGAGGCAGCGTGTATCGGTGCCATGCCGTCGCGTGCGCGTACATAAAGTGAACCGCCTGCTTCAAGAACCAAAAACTTCAGCACTTCCAAATGCCCTTCCTGCGCTGCCAAGTAGACTGGTGTAACATCGTTGTCCATTTGAGTGTTTGCACTAATACATATTTGCAGATTTGAATAATAGTAGAACAAAAATTAAAATATTATATTACATTTATTAACTGTTAACTAGTTATACAGATTATATCATAAAAAATTAGTTTTTTATACATATAAGGTATACTAAAAACTAACGATTGACATATCGGTGATCCTCTGCAATAACGGCACAATTTAAAATTCAAAAAATAAAATTCCTTGCTACTGTTAAGAGGCTCATGTCTGTAATCCTTATCTAATCCACGTCTACGCCTCACTAAAATAAGAAGTAAAGTTTTTATTTTTTGAATTTTTAAATGCGTCGTTATTGCAGAGGACCAGCGATATGTAAGTAGGCACGTACATTAGGGCTAGAAAAAAAGTAAAGTCTGGAATTTTAATGCTCTAAACCCATATGAGTGTTCTATATCGAAAAATACCCCTATTTCTAATTTGAAATGAAAAAATATTTAGAGGTCGCTCAAAGCGCTCGAAGGATTCCATGTAAATATTTTATATGGGGAAAAAAGAACTTTTCGTAGAAATGGTATAGAATTCTTGGAAACCCATATTTTTCGATCGGAAAACTCTAGTTCTCTTCAGGAGACTTCCAATAACAATACCCAATAGTTTATATAACCATTTTTTAATACTAAAGATTTTTTAGTGCCCCCCATGCATTTTCTTTTTATGTTCTGGGGTTTTTAACGGACCTATAAAATATAGTTACTATGAAAAAGTTGTTAAATAAGTAACTGGGAATTATTATTGGGAATCTTCTTAAGAGAACAAAGTTTTCTGATTGACAAACATTGATTTTCAAGTAAATTTAATAGAAATTAGATAATTTATCATAAATCAAGAACCAAATGAAGAAAAGAATTCCCATTTATTTTAGTCCCCACTGTTGAGGAAATTAAAAAAATGTCTAAAGATAAGAAATTATTATTATTATTATTTTTTTAATCAAATACAAACCGCACACTCGAACGCACACGTGCTAATCACATATCTATAGAAATTACGAAAGAAAATGTGAACGTACTTGGTTTATGTGAACATAGTTTTAGGGTGATTGACTCGGTTTTTCTAATTCTTGGAACCACAATTGATTCCAATAAATGAATGCTTGGTGCTTAAACGAATTCTATGTGCCGATATTCTCCTCCAATTCGTGATATGCTTCGTGATGTTGTTACACAAATGGAGAGATCTACACTTTTACTTCACCGCCGAAGAGGATTTTATGGCAGAAGTACATTCGGAGGTGGCGGCCACTGTGGTGTACGCTTGAAAAGATCAAAACGTCAAATAAACATCGTATTTTATTGAATTCAGTGCATATTTTGTAATTTTTGTGTATATTTTAAAAAATTTAGTTACTTTTAACCTCTCAGCTTCATTTTCCGGTTCAAGACCACCCTGTAAAATATTTTGACCGGATATTTTTACATTTTGAATTAATATTTTCCAGGCAGAAGAAGAACAGTTTTTACTTGTATGCACAATGCCCACTAGATCCAGTCATTTAATGTATCTGAAGCGTGCAATCGATAGGACGTAGAAAAGATATTTTCCCTTTACATTTTTTGTTTACTTCTCCTGTGACCGGAGTCATATGTTGCAAAAACTAGGAAAATCTAAAAGAACTTAACAGTACAAAAACAAGGAAGATCAAAAAACTCAGAGCGTGTAGTCCCTAAGCGCGGAAGAAGTGAAACTTAATAGGGGAAAGCGGCCAGAAAGAAAGAAGTGTGCGTAATAATACACATGCACATATTTTCTAATATACAAAAAACATATTTATTTAAATTTTTTTTAACGACCTTTATTTTTTTTATTTTTTATAACCAACTGCAAAGTTTAATTATTATTTATGGCTGAGAAAACATCCATATCTACAATATTAACTAGTAGATTGTGGTAACTAAAGTAAGATATGAAAATATTATTAATATTTCTGAAAAAAAAAACCGCATCAATGGTAGACGCTTCTTTGGTTGTTGGGTCATTTCTACCATTAACCATTTCCAATGAAAATTTTTCTTTAAAAAAATTTGTCAGTTCATCAGATTTGGCCAGCGAAAAGTTGACGTTGAAATCTTCTGCGAGAATTACAAGTCGATCCTAACTGTCTACTCATCTTTATCTTAATCGTTATCATTCATCTTTTTTGTCATCTTCATCTTCTTCTTCTTCTTCTTCTTCTTCTTCTTCATCTTCATCTTCATCTTCATCTTCATCTTCATCTTCATCTTC